ATGGAGTCCTACAACCCTAATAAAACTTTTTATATACTTCTTTTTTGTTTATTCTTCGTAGATTGATTTTTTTAAAAAGTACTTTAAACTGTATAAATAATGTAAAATTAAATAGACTTAAACAGCCAATCATACGAAAGTCTTCCTATGGGTGTACGAGTATACGCTAAAAAAAAATTATTTGCCATTTTCACTATTTTGAAAACAGTGATAATTATGTATTAGGATCGGCTGATTTTTTCCACTTGATGTAAGTCATTATGACAACTATAAATGGGAAACAACTTATGTACCTGTCAAATCATTTCAACCTGCACCAAATACTATTATTGAAGTAATTGCGAAATTGCAAGGATTATATTATTATCAACAGTCGCAATAATTATTGCAATAATTATTGTTTATATGATTAAGAAACAAGAATCAAATAAATGCTTATATTTCGCAAGATACTAATCAACAATATATCGATATGTCATGATTAAGTCAACAGAAAGAATAACGAAAGTATCCAAACAAACAATGTTATATAACTTTACAAATTGAAATTTAAATACTATTAAGTTTTTATCTGAGTTTGACATTAACTTTTTGTAAAATTTACTGTATTAGCATTGTAATTAATATAATCTTTTTAATTTTGATAGTATAATAATAATCTCATATAGTTATGTTGAATTATCCGCTAAGCCAAAGGAATACCTTGAACGAATCCAAATACATTATTAGGATCATATATTTTTTTTACAGCAATTAATGCAGGCAAATTACTGCCGTGATATCTATGCTGCCAATCTGTTAAATCTCGATCCATATAATTCTGATAACTACTATAATCAGTATAATTCGACTGAAAAATTTCACCAAAACTATTTAACTGATTAAAACATTGTGTGTTTGTCGTATTATCACCATTCAGAGTTGTAAATAATTCAATCGAATGAAATACGTTCCTATGCACGAACGCAGTAGCATTTTCTGCAATTCTAGCTGCCGCACCACCAGCGTATAAATCAAATACTGCATATGTTGGACATGCGGTGGGAAGACCTTTCATAAAATTCACAAGCGATTGAACACCCTCTGCTGAAAGTCCAGAAGATTTTACATAGAAAGACTTTGCTTTAAATTTACTGGGACTATGATATGGATTTATTGTGCCACTTTCTTGTTGAAATCCCCATCTTACAACGCTATCGAAAAAACTTTCCTCTGTAAATTGATTCGAAGTTGGTTGTGAAAGTGAAATAAATTGGCTCATAACTTGCGTTGCACTCGATTGTGATCCTAGATAAACACCTTGAA